TGCGCCAGATTTGTATGAGGACACGTCGCCAGTACACAAGGGCCAGAAGAAGGCGTCGAGCAACTTTAGAGGAGAAACAGAGAGCTTATAGAGTATATCGGGAAGCGACAATGAAATTACAAAACTCAATAGCCGAGGCCAAGGAGAAGTCGTGGGAGGATCTTCTCGAGGGGCTGAATAGGGACCCGTGGGGTCGTCCTTACAAGATGGTATTAGGAAAGCTGCGTCCCTGGGTTCCCCCACTAACTGAAATGATGGATCCTAACCTTTTGGAGAAGGTAGTTGATACTCTTTTTCCTTCTGTACGGGAAAGCTCTGAGCTACCAGAATTCTCTCTAAGCTCCAATACATGGTCCGAAGAACTGGAGGTATCAAAGGGTGAATTAGAACACGCTGTCAATCGACTCTCAGCCCGCAATACCGCACCAGGTCCTGATGGTATACCAGGACGAGTTTGGGTGCTTACACAGGATGTTCTCGGAAATAGACTGAGGCAATTGTTCAATAGCTGCCTCAGAAATGGTATGTTTCCCGCGATTTGGAAAGAGGCTCTACTGGTGCTTCTGAAAAAGGAAGGAAGACCAGAGGATTCTCCATCGGCGTACAGACCTATCTGCCTGTTAGACGAGGTTGGCAAATTATTCGAAAGAATAATTGCTACCCGTCTCAACGTTCACCTGGTACAAGAGGGGCCCGATTTATCGGAAAATCAATTTGGCTTTCGACGGGCGCGTTCAACGGTCGATGCAATCATCCGCGTGAGAGCGCTGTCCGAACGGGCAGTATCACGAGGTGGTATGGTGTTGGCAATAAGCTTGGACATTGTCAACGCATTTAACTCAATACCCTGGCGGATCATCAGAGAGTCATTACTCTTTCATCGGGTGCCTCCCTACCTGCAGCACATTTTGAGCTCATATTTGAGCGATCGCTGTATTAAATATCCGGTCAGAGGGGGAAATAACAACCAAAGACCGGTTAATTGCGGAGTTCCGCAGGGATCAGTACTGGGTCCCCTATTATGGAATCTTGCGTACGACGCTGTACTAAGGACGATCCTTCCACATGGTGTACACGTCGTCTGTTACGCGGACGACACTCTAGTGATCGCTGAAAGCGATACCTGCGAAGGGGCCATCATTCTTGCTCAACAAGGCGTAGAACGGGTGGTTGGAAAAATACGCGAGTTGGGCCTTCAAGTAGCGCCTCATAAGACCGAAGCCATGTGGTTTCACAAACTTCCAAGAGGGAGAGAACCACCTCAATCGACGGTCAGAGTTGGCGGCGTGCAGGTCCAAGTGGGACAGTTTATGAAGTACCTCGGTCTCACACTAGACAGCCGTTGGGGGTTTGAGGAACACTTTCACCGTTTAGTCCCCCGGATCCAAAGGGTAGCGGGTGCCATGCACAGACTGCTGCCAAATCTAGGGGGACCCAACGAAGGAGTGCGCCGTCTTTATGCGGGGGTGGTGCGATCGATAGCCCTATACGGTGCACCTGTATGGTCGCACAGACTCTCTGGAGTCAGACGCTCCAGAGTCAAACTTCACGCCGTACATCGCAGGATGAGCATAAGAATTGCAAGGGGATATCGCACGATTTCATTTGAGGCGGCCAGTCTTTTAGCACGTTTTCCTCCATTCGATATCTTGGCTGATATGGACGCGAGAGTACATCGCAGGGTTCGGGACTGTGACGCTATTAGCGCAGCGGAAATTAGGCTGCAGGAACATCAACACGCGCTCAAAAAATGGCGTGCACAGCTACAAGAACCCCAGAATATGCGTCAGCGCGTAGTGGGTGCAATTGTTCCAAGTTTCAAAGCTTGGTTGAATAGAAAATGGCATGTTACGTACCGCCTGACTCAAGTGCTCACCGGGCACGGCTGTTTTGGGGAGTACTTAAATAGAATCGGGCGCGAGGCAACAGCACAATGTCATCACTGTGCAGGGAATCGGGACACAGCGCAGCACACTCTGGAAGAGTGCTCCGCCTGGGATTCTGAGCGGCAGACACTGATCGGCCATATTGGGCAGGATCTTTCCCTACCAGCAGTTGTAGATGCTATGCTGAAGTGCGAGACCAAATGGAAGGCGATAGTCTCGTACTGTGAAGCTGTCATGGCTCAAAAGGAGAGCGCTGAGCGCGACCGAGAGAGGGCCGATCCAGCTCGGAGGAGGCGACGCCGGGGTGGAGGCGATTAACACTCCGGTGTTTTAACCCTGTAGTACTAGGTGTAAGAATAAGGCTACGGTATCCCCTGCCTGTCGTAAAAGGCGACTAAAAGAGGACCTCGGAGTTGTGGACGCTCAGAGTGGGGGCTCTGGAAGTCCATAAAAACAGCGACTCCGGGAAGACAGCATAGTGTGGTGGTTGCACTGTGCTGTGCCGAATCCGGCAGAGATGGCGAGGGGGCTAAGAGCCAGAGACGAGCCTAGAAAGGCGTAGTGCGTAAGAGGCACCGGTGACGGTCGTTAGAGATCCCGGAGCCTCCGAACATGCACGGAGGAAGGCCACCGGGGGGGTTTTAGTGGGTAAAAATCCCACATAACCCGGCGTTTCCCCCCAGAGACGCCGAGTATCTTTCGAAGATTTCCCCCCCGACAACAAAAAAAAAAAATAGGTTAGGTTAGGTTAGGTTAGGTTAGGTTTACCACGGTGTGCCACCTTATCTGCGGCGAGTGGTTGGGGACTATCTACGTGACAGGTGTGTCCTGTACCTTAATAGGCATGGACAGCTCGTGACGAAGTCGGTGTCATGCGGTGTTCCACAAGGATCGGTTCTTGGGCCACTCTTGTGGAACATCGGATATGATTGGGTCCTACGAGGTGCACTTTTAAGGGGACTAAGGGTTGTGTGCTACGCAGACGACACACTGGTCACCGCCCGTGGTGATTCCTTCAATGAGGCTATTCGGCTTGGCACGGTGGGTGTGACGCAGGTTGTTCGGCGTATTGAGCTTCTCGGGCTTAGGGTGGCTCTCAACAAAACTGAGGCTATCTTCTTTTATGGACCTCGAAAGAGGCCGCCCTCCAGAACTTGCTTACGAATAGAAGGAGTTCAAATCGAGACGGGGACTCACATGAAATATCTGGGCTTGGTTTTGGATGGGAAATGGCTGTTCAATGAACATTTCCGGCGTCTTGCTCCAAAACTTATTGAAGCGGCGGCCGCTCTGGGTAGACTGTTGCCTAACCTGGGAGGCCCGAGCGCAAGTGTGCGAAGACTATATACCGGGGTGGTGCGGTCCATGGCCCTGTACGGAGCGCCAGTGTGGGTGGACGCCCTGAGCGACAAGAACAAGGCCTTGCTGCGAAGACCACAGCGGGTCATGGCAATTAGGGTGTGCCGCGGATACCGCACTGTGTCATTTGAGGCGGCCTGCGCTCTGGCAGGAACCCCACCTTGGGACTTAGAGGCGGAAGTTCTAGCAAGCGTCTATGAGTACACTTCGCGCGCGCGGGAGCAAGGCGATCGGGCCATGTCTGAAGACGTGGAGCGGTGGCGGCAGCATTTGAAGAGGGCAACCCTGCGCCGGTGGCGAGAACGTCTAGAACAGCCTAGTGCCGGTCACTGGACAATCGAAGCGATAAGACCCGTTATAGAGCGATGGGTCCGTCGCAAGGAGGGAAAACTTACCTTCCGACTTGTGCAGGTGCTCTCGGGACATGGGTGCTTCGGGAGTTACCTGCACAAGATTGGAAGGGAGGCGTCAACTATATGCCACCACTGTGGTGCTACCGAAGACACGGCAATGCACACACTGATGGTGTGCCCAGAATGGGCTCAGCCGCGCGCAGTTCTGACCGCGCAAGTAGGACATGACCTCTCGCTGCTGGCAGTCGTGCGGGATATGGTCTTCGATAAGAGGTCCTGGGAGGCGATGGTCACATTCTGTGAACAGGTTATGTCACAGAAGGAGGCGGCGGAACGCGCCAGGGAGAGCGATGCATTCTCTGACGCGATGCGCCGTAGACGCACGGGGAGAAGAAGGCGGGACTACGCCCAGCTTCAACCCCCGTAATTTGGGCCGCGGGTGACGGGCACGGGGAGCCCCTCATCCGCATTTCAAGGCCCAAGGCGTAACGAAGGTGTCTTCATATACTCCGAGACACCTTCTATCAATGTGGAGATCCCGGTTGGGTGGGTCCGAGAGGACAACCGCTGGCGTGGCTGCGGACGAATGCTATAGCAATTCCCGGGGTCACGCCCTGTGCGGGCGACGGAGTATCCCTGGTTTTTAGTGGGTAGGCCTCATTTCTTCTTAGGAGGAGAGTCCCACATAACCACCGCGTCCCCCGATCGCGGTGGTATGCGTAACGCATTTTCCAGGGTTAAAAAAAAAAAAAAAAAAAAGGTTAGGTTAGGTTAGGTTAGGTTAGGTTAGGTTTCCGTGTGCAGTTGCTGGTCTGCCATCGGACGCGTCCCCAGGTGGCGGATAGGGGAACGGCTCCCAGATATGGGAGTTACCGGCTTCGGCCGGCGCGGACCAAAACCAGCACGGGGGAGGGGAGAAGGATAGTGTCGGCTCTACCGGCGCTATCTAACTCGTAACCCTGTACGTGGTGCAGGGTCGAGGGCCGTCACTTTCACGAGTGGGGGCCGCGAGGAAGAAAACCTCTTCAAAAATTACCGGTGGGTGGGCGGTGTTTGGTCCAAGGATCGACGCTGGGCCCATTTTCAAGCGCGACGGGTACTGGCGGCTGTGTAACCACGGCTGTCCGTGCAGGCTGAGGCCACCGTCGGGCGACCTGTTATCCCGACTGAGTCAACCGACCGACTGGGACCAGGGGGCTTGCCTTAATTGGCCGGCCTGAGTGGAAAACAACCACAATAAAAAATCCTCAAAGGTACTGTCGTTGGGGCGCCCCTTGGGGCCTCGCGCGGCGACAGCACGCCCGTTTCGGCGGGTTGGTAGGCGGAGTATGCAGCCTACCCACCTAGCGGCCTTCCCTGGGAGACCGCCCGTCCTCCCAGGATGTAATAGGGTTACCCCGGTATGGAGCCTCTGCCGGGGTGGACGACCTTTTGCGACCACACTCGTGGGATTCTTATGGAGAAATTAAATAAATCGTTTTACACAAATGACGTTGTGTCCGAGAAGGACGGTGATGATGATGAAGTGTCCATGACTGATGGAGACACTAGCACGAACGTGCGTACCAGAAAGCGTCAGCTATCGAAAGCGAGCATAAGATCGCGTTCGCGATCTCGTTCACTGTCGCTCTCTGACGAGGGATCGACGCGATCTTCGGCGTCGAAAATACCTACGGCTCGTAGAGGAAGAGGCCGCCCGCCTACTACTGGGCAATATGTCGGCCTGGCGAAAGCCAAAAACGAGTACATAGAAGCTAGGAGGCGGGAACTCCAAGTCCAAGCCGAGGAAGAGACTGCGGATCTAGCTCACCGCCTGCGAGAGCAAAGGCTTGTAACGGCGAAAGAAGTAGCGCAGTGTACTAGCGAGGTGGACACCGCCGAAGTTATCAGTAAACAAATTCGCGATGATGTCTCTATGATTTTAACGGTGGCCAAAAATTCAGGAAACCTAAAAGGAACATACCAGAAATCACTAAAAGATGTTGCCGCATCTATCGAGGCAAACTTCGAAAAGATCCGGACTCACACTGTAAGTGAAGAGACGAAAGCACTTCAAGCCAACAACAATTTCTTGAATGCCAGAATTAAAGAGCTTGAGAAGAAATTGGCAGTGTTAGAAGCTACAATTGAGCACATGAACCAGCAGCGGATGTCTACAACCGCTGCTGATAAGAGTGTAGAGGATCCGGCATTATCTATGGACATGACTCCTGATTCAATGCTGCAACCGCAAGGGCATCGCAGGACGACGACATCTAATAGGGGAAGGCGACCACCGTCTTTGTCTCCGCAATCTGATGTCGATCAACGGCTGCTGAAAGCCATAATGATGCAGGTGGGAACGATGGTGAATGCACGGTTCGAATCGTTTGAAGAGCGGCTCCCCCCTGCGGAGCGTCTGCGTCCGCCACTGGCAGCGGACGCCAAAACTAGAAAGAAGGCGTCATTCGCATCCGTGGTAGAACACAAACTTGCAACAGCGCCTCATACGACGGACCCAAAAATGACGGGTAATCCCTCTCCTGATGTTGCAGACACGCAACAGGGGAAGAAGAAGAAAGGGGCAAACGCAACAATTGCAAAAGCTCCAAAAGCAACCAACAAACCGCCTACGACATCAGTCCCAAATCCTGGCGCAGACGAAGAGGGTTGGAATGTAGTTGTGGGTGGTCGCAAAGCAAGGAAGAAAGCAGCCACTGGCACCAACCCAAAAGCTAAGCCACCACCGGCAAAGAAGAAGAAGCCCAAGTTGCGACCACCTCGGTCCGCTGCTGTGGTCATCACGCTACAGGCAGAAGCCATAGAAAAGGGCATCACATATGCGGATGTTTTACTCAAGGCCAAGGAAAGCGTAGTGCCTGCTGAGCTCGGAATTGAGCACATTCGCTTCAGGCAAGCCGCGACTGGGGCAAGAATATTGGAGCTGCCGGGCACTGAAGGTGCAAAGCATGCTGACAAACTAGCCGAAAAACTAAGGGGCGCTCTCGGTGAAGTCGTCAAAGTTGCTAGACCTACCAAGTGCGCAGATTTGCGTATATCCGGTCTGGACGACTCTGTTTCGCCGTCCGACGTTCTTGCAGAGATTGCGAGAAAGGGGAACTGCGACGCAGGGTCCGTCAAAGTTGGGGAGATTCGTCGAGGCCCGGGTGGCATGGGCACTGTTGTCGCGAAGTGTCCAGTAGCAGCGGCGAAAACCCTAGTCGACGCAGGTCGAATTTTGGTCGGATGGAGTGCTGCGCAAGTACGCGCGCTAGAGCCACGACCTCTGAAGTGTTTCCGGTGTCTAGAAGGAGGACACACCCGAGCCCGATGCACGGCCCAGATAGACCGCAGCGAACTCTGCTATCGCTGCGGTAAAGCCGGGCATAAAGCGGTGTCATGCTCGGCAAAACCGCACTGCCCCATTTGCGCAGAAGCTAAGCGGCCCGCGGAACATAGCATGGGGAGTAAAATGTGCTCTCCCCCTAGACGGAGGAACAAGGCTGGTCAGACCACTGCCCCCCCTGTAGGCGCACAGCAGGCACCACATGAGGAAGCGATGGAAACCACCAATGGATAGTACACACATTCATCGCGTCCTCCAGGCGAACTTAAACCACTCTGCCGGTGCGCAGGACTTGTTCCTGCAATCCATGGCAGAGTGGTCAATAGATATCGCAGTCGCCGCTGAACCCTATTTTATCCCTTCCCGTACTAATTGGTTTGCGGATACGGAGGGTTCTGTGGCCATAATCGGTGGTTCTTCGTCGGCAAACTCCTCATGGATGCAACTTCAAGAGCGTGGTCCTGGGTACGTTGCGGTCAAATGGGGGGATGTAATACTATTCGGAGTATACTTCTCCCCCAACAAAACCTTAGCCGACTTTGAGGTGTTTATGGATCTTTTGGGAGCTGCAGTTAACCGCGCATCGCCGGTGTCGGTAATTGTGCTAGGCGATTTCAATGCGAAGTCCGAGACGTGGGGTTCTCCAACCACCGATTCACGCGGCGTCGCTGTAGAAGACTGGGCCATAACATCCGGCCTCACTCTACTGAACCAGGGCAACATCAACACTTGTGTTAGACAGCAGGGGGGGTCCATCGTGGACTTATCATTCGCTACTCCTGCTGTCGCTGGACGAGTGTCTGACTGGAATGTACTGGAGGGTGTGGAGACGTTATCTGATCACTTGTACATCAGATTTCATGTCTCCCCCTCGCAGGTGGCCAATAGGATGAGTCGACCACAAAACACTGGTACATCACCTTTTCCACGATGGGCAGTGGCTAAGATGGACCGAGATCTTCTGGTCGAAGCGGCCATCGTACAGTCCTGGTTTTCTCAGCCTGCGTCCTCGCCTGTGGAAGTGGAGGAAAGCGCTCAATGGCACGCTGACGCCATGACTGCCGTCTGTGATGCAGCTATGCCTCGCGTGAGGCGCCGCCCGTCAAAGCGCGAGGTATATTGGTGGTCGCAAGATCTAGCGAATCTTCGCGAGGTTTGCATAATCGCACGTCGCGCCTACTCCAGAGTCCGCCGGCGCTGCATCCGTGATGAGGCCCTGGAGAACGAACTTCACGAGGCCTATAAGGACGCCAAAAAGACGCTGCAGCTTGGCATATGTCGCTCAAAAGCTCAGGCGAGGGAAGAGATGCTCGAGGGGCTGAATCGGGATCCGTGGGGTCGCCCGTATCGCTCGGTACGCGGCAAGTTACGTAATCTGGGACCACCATTGACAGAGTCTCTCGAGCCCCAATTACTGGAAACAGTGGTCTGCTCCCTATTTCCGGAAAGAGCCGTATTCGAGCCCCCACGAATGGCTCCACCTCAAACTGAATCTCCATCTGACGCCCAGGTTCCACCGGTAACAACCGGTGAGTTGGGCGCAGCATTTCTGAGGTTGCGTGCGAAGCGAACGGCTCCTGGACCAGATGGTATACCCGGGCGTGCCTGGGTTCTAGTAGAAGAGCTGATGGAGGAGCGATTTCGGACTCTACTCGACGCATGCCTAGTGTCCGGACGGTTCCCCAGCAAATGGAAAATCGGACGGCTGGTACTGCTAAGAAAGGAGGGGCGGCAGGAGAACTCGCCATCAGCGTACCGACCTATCGTTCTTCTTGACGAGGCTGGGAAGCTTTTTGAACGCGTCTTAGCTTTTCGTATCGTTCATCACCTTAGTACGGTAGGCCCAGATCTAGCGCCCTGTCAATTCGGGTTCAGGAGGAATCGCTCCACTATCGATGCCATCCTAAGCGTCAAATCGCTCTCGGAAGAGGTTACTTCGCAAGGCGGGGTCGTGTTAGCAGTGTCCCTGGACATTGCTAACGCATTCAACAGTCTGCCCTTTGAGTGCATAGGGGAAGCACTCCGCTTTCACGGAGTGCCCACGTATCTACAGCGAGTAATACACAATTACCTCAGGGGAAGAACTGTGGCATATCTCGGCAGGGACGGAAGGGTACACAGCAGAGTAGTGTCGTGCGGTGTTCCACAGGGTTCGGTCTTGGGACCACTCCTGTGGAACATCGGCTATGACTGGGTTTTGAGAGGCGCTCTGTTGCGTGGACTCAGTGTAGTCTGCTATGCCGACGACACACTAGTAACTGCCCGCGCTAAAGACTTTTCTGACGCGACCAGGTTGGCGACAGTCGGGGTAGCCCATATTGTCGAAAGGATACAGAGGCTTGGGCTGAGAGTGTCTCTTGACAAGACTGAAGCCATTTTCTTTTACGGTGCTCGGAAGAGGGTGCCTCTCGGAGCCCATCTGTTAATCGGCACTGCTCGTATTGAGGTGAACCCTGTCATGAAATATCTCGGTATCTTCCTTGACAGCAAGTGGAAGTTCCATGAACACTTTGGCAGAAAGGCGCCAAAACTCGTCGCAGTTGCAGCTGCACTCGGCAGTCTGCTGCCGAACCTTGGGGGTCCTAACGCATGCACGCGTAGGTTATATAACGGAGTTGTGCGCTCCATGGCTCTTTATGGTGCACCTGTGTGGGTGGATGCCCTAGATGCCCATAATAAGGCTCAACTGCGAAGAGCTCAGCGAGTCATGGCAATTAGGGCGATACGCGGCTACCGTACTATATCGTACGAGGCGGCCTGCGTCATGGCTGGGACCCCACCTTGGGACCTTGAGGCGGAAGTGCTTGCCTCTGTTTACACACGCACTGCTGATAAACGAAGACAAGGCGAAAGAGTCATGCCCGAAGAGGTGAATAGGTGGAGACTGCACGCCCGAAGACAAACAATGCGGCGTTGGCTGCAGCGACTGGAAAGTCCGGGTGCTGGCCATTGGACGATCGAGGCGATCCGACCTGTCCTTAAACGGTGGATTGGTCGCAAGCAGGGAACGGTAACCTTCCGGCTTGCACAGGTTCTCTCGGGGCATGGTTGCTTCGGGAGTTACCTCAACAAAATAGCCGGGAGGGAACCGACCGCTGTTTGCCACCAGTGTGGCGCATCCGAAGACACAGCAAGGCATACCTTGCAGGAATGCCCTGAATGGACGGAGCCTCGAGCGCTACTTAGCGCGACTGTAGGTAACGACCTGTCCTTGACGGCCGTGGTCCGGGCCATGGTTAATGACGAGAGGTCGTGGGACGCCGTTGTCGCTTTCTGCGAACAAGTCCTGTCGCAGAAAGAAGCGGCGGAACGCGCCAGGGAGGACGATACCCTCTCCGACGCGATGCGCCGCAGACGCACGGGGAGACGGAGGCGGGACTACGCCCGACTTCGACCTCCGTGATTCGGGCTGCGGGTAGCGGGCACGGGGAGCCCCTTACCCGCCTCGTAAAGCCCAAGGTGGAGCGAAGGTGTCTTCATATACTCCGAGAC